AATGACAAACCAAGGTTTCGTAGTAAGTGGTTATAGGTTTTTTTATTGTAATGTTTTTATTATAATTATTATTATCCAGCAAACATGAAAACTAGGAAAATCAGTCTAAGCTATTCCAGCGATGTATGTACGGTTTGTGTTAGAACTTAATAACTATTTAAATACTGTTTATAAAATCGGTTATGTTCACTTATGTAATTAGAGACATTTTCTTAGAAACACTTCCAGTGTTCATTTAAGAAAAGAAAAAAAAACACTTGTGCGTTGCCAGTAGAGACTAATTTGACAACAAACAGCGCAATACAATGTATTTAATTAAGTAACAATGGTATTCTACGTCTGCTCAAATCACAAAATGGACTTCAGAGAAAAACACAAAAATATTGTTATTGAACAATAAAACAAACCACAACAATTAATAGTTTTACATATATATATATTACTCATTTCTTTTCATTCTCACCAAAGGTAAAATCGAAAAAAGCATCTGTGACGTAGAGGCCTAATACTTACTTTTGATTGGCCGTATAAAAAAACATTAATTATTAGTTTTGTTTTCGTTTTGAGTTTAGTTACTGGTTATAACTGTTATCTTATTACAAGTTACATCTTTTACAGTAAAGATGAATATTCTTAAGACAGGTATGACGTTTCGATCACTGATGCGCTCACTTCTACTGTGCATTAACATCCATTAGCTAGGCAGGAGCATCGAGAGCCAGCACGGCCCCGGGGCAAACATTCTTGCCGGTCCCCCTTTCTCTCTTTTTAACATTTTAAAGAACATATTAAAACGAATATCCTAAAGTAGAACAGCAACGAGTTCGTAAACAATGCAAAATCATACTAGAAGCCGTTTTTAGCTCACAGTATAAGCGTAAAAACGTGGTTTACAGCATAACTTTAAGCTGTAACTTTAAATAAAATAAACTACAACACTGTTTTGCACAGTATACTGTAACGTGCGAGAAAAGCATATTGCCTTCAGGCTGAGATGTGAAGTTTCCTTCAGATAGATATGAAGTCACCCTGACATGGCCTTCAAATGAAGTATGAAAACTGCTGGAAGGGTTTTCTCGTGCGTCACGAGGACGAACATGAAGATTTTTTCCATGCACGATATGCAATTAAATTGTGAAAAATACTTAAGAAAGAAAGAAAAAATATAAATTCGCCATCGCAATATAACGTTTTTGTCTCACATGAACCTGATCATTTTTTGTGTAATATAATTAAAACATATCCAGTTCAATCTAAATTGAAATGGATTGACTCAAGTCAAGTGCATGTCTGTTTATTATTTTTTTCTTCTTCTTTGGAACAGTATGTTGCTTGGAAGAATTACATTACATAGACAGGCGTAGGAGTCCGCCGGTGAGTCGTGGTAGGTTCACGGACTTCCAACGCAAAAATCCGGTTCGATTTCCCGCGGTAGACATAGTGCAAATAAATAGCCTATTGTATAGCTTTGTAGAAGCACAACAGGTTTAAGGACAACAACCCTTCACGTTTAGAATTGGGAAGACTAAGCCACTCCATGTTTTAAGCGGCAACTTTTTAGTATAAAAAATAAATAAGGAAAAAAAAAGCACAACGGGGCTGAAAAGGTGATCGTATTACACTCGCAAGAACCTTTCAGAGCGGAACATTACAGCTTTATGAATAATTCAACGACATTTATCTTCAAAGTCACCCATAAAAAAAATGATGGAAACAGCTGCGGTATACATTAAGAACGAAGTCTGGATGTCCAAGGACACGCAGCTGAATGTACACGTAGAATTGGTAGGTTGAAAAAATTCCCTCTGCCAAACAACATTCAGAGAGGGAAGCTTGTCCCCTAGAAGATGCAAGGAGCGGTACAGGATAGGTAAGAACGATGGCACTTTATACGTGCCTTAATTAAGCAACGTTCAACGGCGCTGGTAGGATGTAAATATAAGAGTAAGATCTACTACAACTTAACATTATATTTGGGGTGAGTTCGTGACAGCCAACAAAGCAAGTGTTCTAGCCTAGCTAACTAAAATTACAACGTACGTTTCCACCTGATTTCTCTATTGTCCCACGCATGGCCTAGTGGTTAGGATTTATGACGTAGTGTTACCAGACATGCTTCGCATTTTCAGCTGTCGGTGCGTTATAAAAGTGACAATCAATCTCGTTATTTATTCAAGAGAAGCCGCTTCAGGCAGTGGTTGATTTCCTTCTGTTCAGCAGTTCAAAATCAGAAACGAATTTGCCCGAATCTTAAGAGTTTTTGACTTCGTCGTTTAACCCAGTGTATGTGAAAAGTGACATTCAAATGAACAAATAAGCAGATATCTCTATTACATAAAAATAGTTTACGTTATAAATCCATAGCGCTGCCCTAGCATAAATCTACTTAACAATTTGCTTCATTGTGTCATTCATATTGTTCTTTCACACATTAACAGGAGAAAGTAGAAAGATGCTTCTAGATTTTCAATTTTTCTCGGGGAAGCAAATCCATATACCCCTTCAGGGGGTATCCCCCAAAAGAAGGGTTCACTCATTCGGTGTTTAGCCCTTTAGTTCCCTTCCTTTACATCAAAATCTGGAAACCGCAACTTTGTTTGAGAACACTGCATTCTTGTTGTGACTTTTTTTTTGCAATTATTTATAAACAGAAAACAATGCAGTTACAAATGTGTTGTCTTACGTAAACTACAAGCTAACGCGTCTGTTCAACGCAAGAGGAAGGCAATGAGCCTCTTGTGGGGGTGGGGGATCAGATCAGAATGAAATCCCCCGTCACTCCATGGGGAAGGAGTTCTAAGACACTTGTAAGGTTAGGTGACAACTCGAATCATATTCATTGGGATTCGGTACATGTTTTGAACCAAGGAGGGTCAGGTTCAGCGTTGGGCTTTTCAAATCGAGATATAATAAATCGTATTATGTTTTTGTTATCGTAATATCTACTTCCCTGACAATTCTTGTAAACTTTAGTAACTAATGTATGCCTACATTTATATATAGGTTTATAGACTTACTTATTTATATAATCATTGTCTTTCTGTCACTAGTCTGAAATATAATCTTAATGACTGAAAATAGTCTGGGATAGCATCATCGTAGCTCTGACTTTAAATGAGATAGAATAATTTTGGTTCTGACTAGGGTCTGGGATAAAATCATTGTGACCAACATAGCGTATCATATCCTTTTGAATTCGACTTTAGTATGGGATATAACGATTGTGACTCTTGACTTTTGTCTGGCTAAAAGTTAACGCCATTCACATATTAATTTTGGATTTCGGAGAGTGCCTTAGCACTCTCTATGTAGGGACGGCACGGACGCCCGTATTAAAGCAATCCAAAAGTCATCTTGATTTTCTTTTCTATAGGTCATCATAAGCTAGATATGAAAAGCTACCTGGCATAGTCGCTCTATCTTTAGTGTATATGCCGCTTTTCAGCTATCTAGAGCATCCCAAAGTCGAAAACAGGCGAATAGCCAAACCAAAATTTCTTATTTTCGTTCATCATCATCATCTTTGTTCAATAGGCCTAGCGCCTACCTAGTTCTAGCAGTAACTATAATTTTCTCATCATTTGATAGAGCAAGGCAGTCTTCACGATCTTTGACTACCTACTTTATTATTATTATATGCAAATTTTATAAATCTTTGGGCCCCCCAGTGTCTAGAGTATAGATTGTATCCCAAAGCTTTATTATTAGGTTTGTTTGTAGTTAAGCACAAAGCTACACAATGGGCTATCTGTGCTCTGCCCACCACGGGTATCGAAATCCAGTTTCTAAGTTGTAAGTCCGCAGACATATTACTGGGGGCTAAAATAAAGAAAGTCATTAACACTGTTTGAGAGAGGAAAAAATACCACCATATATTTTCAAGAATCTGGTTGGTTCTGTAAAGTATAGGTTTATTCCGAATAATAGGGTTGTGATCCTAAAACTAATGTTGGATATTAATGAGTGTCAATTTCTTACTTGGTGTGTATTGAAAAAAAAATCATGATATATAATAAAAACACCTTAGGTGTTAGAAAAAGGTGCAGCCAAAAAAGGATTGAGTGTGTGACTTAAAGGAAAGAAATTAAAATTGGCAGCTAAAGTGGTTACTACACTTATAGCATTGATAAGAATTTTACAGTAAATATTCATTCATTAGTTAGCTAGACCGCGTATTTTCTTCAACTTGAGGCATGAACTACAGGAACGGCAGCTAGTCGTCAGCACCCACCACCAATTCTTGGCCTTTTTTTGACTGACCGAACTGTTGAATTTCTGTCATTCATTTGACTGTCACTATTATAAATCCCCCACAGCTAAATGTGTAAATTTCCCATCCCCCCCCAAAAAAAAGGAACGCGAGCCGTGTATGGAACTCTCGGATTTACGGTCCAGGCACACTACCAACCAGGTCACGCCTTATCCTAGTTAAAGTATGGGAAATAAAATTCCCATTAATTTGCTAGTAAAAACTATTAAATGTAGAAAGAATATTTAAAAACTAAATCACGTGCAAGTATTTGTGTTCTTATTGCCTACCATTAATTTTATACTTTTTAAAGTTTTCATTTGTTTATTTCAAACAGTTACATTTTATATAGTCATAACTCTGTTACCATATACATATTGGCACTGTGGTTACAAATGTTTTGACATCTTTCAGTATCACTTCAACAAGTGTATACCAATCACATAAACGTACTCATTGTTATTCCTTTTGTCAAAACCTCCCAAGATGCTTTTTGTACAACAGAACCCTGTCTGTGAAAGTTCTCATCTCACAATTAAATGAAATATTGTATTTTAATACAAGACATATTATGGATGTAAATATTTATTGAATGCAGCTGGTTAAACAGAGCCTTTTACATGTCAGTACGAAAATTCATTGAGCAAGAAATTATTTTTCTCTTAGCTAACAAATACAATATTATAATCATATACAAATCCCTATTTTGTATATATATATATATTTAAATAGTTTTTTTTTCTTGACATCCCTATTTAGCTATGACTGGACACATACATGATCTGTGCATACAAAGTGATGTTTATGTCAGTGTAACTTTGTTCAGTAACTGTGGATTTCCATAGAACGAAATTGTAAGATTTTGGTTTGTTTGTTTCAGAGCAAAGTCACAATGGCCTATCTTTTCTTTTTCTACTGCAGGGAATCAAAACCCGGATTTTAGCATTGTAATTCCATAAAAAAAATGGATAAGACTGAAGAGTAATTTCTAAGTCTAGATACATGTTTTTATATATGGAATTTGAATGGGTAAATTAGGCTGTATAACGTCAAAGTTGATGCATAAGTATGTGTGAATTTTATTTGTTTTTCTTTACTGTTTCATATATGCAAACATTAACTTCAGGTATCTTGATAGGAAACTTCTGAAAAGTTTTAATTTTCATCAGTATCAATGCTTCATTGACTCAATTATCACAAAAAGAACGATTGTTTTATTTCAGTAGAATAGTTTTATAAAGGCTGTTTATTTCAGAAAAGATAAGAATATATATATATATATATATATATATATATTAAGACAGTTTATCAGCATCTGGATACATTGAAGTAAAGAAAACATCCTTAAACCGTTTTCAAAATCTTTCTACATCAGCTATAATAAAATGAAACATGTGTCTTATCTAACAACTAGAGTTAAATAATTCTGGTAGAAATAGAACATTTATTAGCACACTATACCTAGTAGTTTGTGTAATTATTTTGTTGTCTTCTGAAAACTTCACAACTGATGTAAAGAAATGTGACAAAGGTACAACCATATATTTAACTACCAAAATGTTTTAGATGTATCAACACAAGTGCGTGTGCATGCTTCACATGAGGTTATATAGTGGTATGTTTAAAAGAATGTATTTTTATATAACAAATTCTCTACCAAAACTATGATAATAATCCTTAGATATGTGATCACAGCATAATTTCAAAACATGAAATGTGAAATACATTTATAATTTGTAAAATACTATTCTGTTACTAATCTTTTTAATTCTTAAGCACAAAGGTTAACATTTGTCTATTTTCATTGTACTTGCTTTGTGTTTTTAAGACGTTAGAAAGTTCTAAAATTCACTTTTTAACATTTAGAAAAAAAAAGTTTAAGTTTATAAGGCATCCCCCCCCAACCTAGAACCAGGAAGTATTTTCTTATTCACTCGTAGTAAACTACACACTAGTATATAAATCAGGTAAAAAAAGATTTGGTACAGTACCTTTAAAAAAAAAGTGAAATGTTTATAGAAGAAATTTAGGTCTATGTTGTGAGTTTGATGTATTTTGAAGAGAGTATTCATTAAAGATTTTCATAACTTTAAACAACACAATCTCAAATCACAAAAAGTTCTGGCTGGTTTTAAATTATCTCAGTCTTTTTCTTACAAAATAAGGTAGCAAAATTACCAGAACATTTTCTATGTCACGGCCATTTTGTTGTTAATGAATGTTTGATGTCATATTATGTGAAAGTATCTATCCAACATAAGACACCAGAACAAATAAAGGATAATAAGTATCAAATATACTTTGAAAGAAAAATTTTGTGTTCACACATGCTTCAATTAGAACATTTTTTAAATTACAAAACATTTTGTTTCATAAGGCCTTGTGCAAAAAACAAATAAAAACATATTTTAGTTTTTAATTTTCCATTACCTTCAAATACCAGTTCACCAAACCCAATCAAGGAATACAGAATAATGTCCTAGTTTTCTACAGCTTAACATCAAGTCTTCTGTATGAGGATCCATTACTAAGATCTTAATCCAGTTTTTGACATTTGTATTTCTTTTTTAAAATAGTTTACTGTTTTCTGTAGACCATCTTGCAATGACACCTAGAAACAGGAAGAAGATATGTTTAGCTAACACATAAATTTCACTTCATATAGCCAGTTATGTAGCAACTGAATCTCTGAAATTAAAAAGAATTTTCCTTATCACTAACAGTTTTAAATATTAAACTGAAACTAGAAAGAACTATGGTTGTATTTGCACATGATAACCTAGGAAACATCTTCACATGACAACCTCACTTATTTTGTTGATATTTTACCCTCAAGTTATAAGAATATTACACATATTATACAAAGTATTGTTCAGAAGAAAAGTAAATATAAACATCATAAAACAAGTTTTCTCAAAAGGTTTTGGAAAAGATTTTTACAAATAAGGTCACATTTTAATTAGCAAAAACTTAATTTTAAGGCAATTAATAACAGCATCTTGTAAAAAATAATAATATTTTTGCAGTTATTGTGATATTTCATTATGACATGACTATAAAAAATTATTTAAACCAGTATATGACAACTCAGTATCTTGGTTTAAGAACTAAGCTTCAAATAAAGTTAAGTTATTACAAGTTTCTATTTTGAATATACAACCAAATTTCACTGTCAGCTAACAATACAAAGAATTAAATTGTGGTGGATTGCTACAAGTTCTTCAAATACCTATAGAATGATAGGTTTCTTTTTAGTGAGTGTAAAACACGTAAATACACCAGTTTGATTTTCGATACCTCACTAGTATGAAGGCTTGGTTTGGTCTGATATTTCATTGGTGGTAGTGTCCAGGGTCACTGATGAGGAGTGTAATTCTCAGAAACAAGTCTTGCTCACAGACACACACACACACCCCAATGAAAGAATAGACCATTCCAAGCTTTAACTTGTTGTTAAACAAATGTTTAAACAACTCTACTTATTCAATTATGTACAAGCTGCCCAGTGTCAGCTAACAATACAAAGAATTAAATTGTGGCAGATTTGTACAAGTTCTTCAAATACCTATAGAATGATAGGTTTCTTTTTGGCGAGTGTAAAACACGTAAATACATCAGTTTGATGTGTGTATGTAGTTGTGTAATTATGTACCTTTACTAATAAAATAACAAAGTGAGCCTGTCAAGATCCTGCATTGTATCTTTTCATTCAGAAATAAGCTGAACAATAAAATAATGAAAGCTTTTCAGCCAAAATTACTTTAACTCGGCATGAGCTAGATGGAGGATCTTAAGCAGCATTGAGTCTGCACTCTCATTATTAATCAAAGTTGAATTTTAAGTTTATCCATTAAAAAACTTTTTATTGAAAAATACCATTCAAGGAAGTCAAATAAGTACTAAATTACAGCATTCCAATGATTTCAGCCTTAAAATTAGGTTGGGTTTCGTTTGAATTTCTTGCAAAGCTAACCAAGGGCTATAATGCACTAGCCGTCCCTAATTTATCAGTGACAGACTAGAGAGAAAGCAGTTAGTCAGCACCACCCACTACCAACTCTTTTACCAAGAGATAATAGGATTGACCATCACAGTATAATGCTTCCATGGCTGAAAGGGCAAGCATGTTTGGTGATGGGGATTTTAAACTACCAGGTCCTATATGGATAAACATATTGGACCACAGTGCTCTATATCATTATATTTCATCTGCCCTGGATTAGTGAACTTAATTAAGCTATGGTAGGTGTGTTTAACAATGCTTTATTTGGTGCAGAAAAGTCAATAAAAACATAATAATGAACAACAATCATTTATAGTCTTTATTTAACCATATCTGTGCAGTTCAATTGGTTTCTGTATATACTGAGGAACTTCCATGGTATATAAATTCAAAGTAATAAAAAAAACCAGGTTTGTTTATCTTGGAAAACCTAGTACTATGAAAGGTGAGAATTTGCAACATTATAACACTAGCTTCCATTTTGAAATTACATATAAAGGAAAACAAACAGTTTAAACTGAGCTGTTGTATTACTGAGGTTTTAATTTTTTTAATGACCCTAACAACTTCCAGACATTTATACAGAATTTACAAAGAAAAGAAAAAACTAAAGCAAATGAAATAATCTTTGAATACTATTGAAATACAGTGAATAAATCCTGCCTTGTCCTTAGTTATTTTAGTAATTTTTTTACAGTAAATTTTCAATCTTAATTCAACCTCTGACATTATTGTATGTTAAAACACTGTATTCCAAAAACGTGGTACTTTTTTTTTATAATTATAATTTACATTTTCATTGAAACTCTTTTTCCTTCTGTCTGATATCATAAGTCAGATTAACTAACAATTAATTCACCTTGGGACTCCAATTTAAATAATTTTTAGCACGAGTGATGTCAGGTTTCCTCTGCTTTGGGTCATCTTCCAGACCTTCTTTGAAAACTATTGGACTAGAACTCCCTAAAAAATTATAAAAGCAAAAGACATTAGACAATCACATCAAACACTTATTCTCAAAATTTATTTATCATATAGATTACTGGGTGTCTGTTACAGAAAAAATAAATTTAAAAATATTCTTCCCAAACACCAACACTAATATATAATTAACAAAAATAACTTATCCACTTCTATTATCAAGTTAAAGTAACAAATTACAAGGTGCACATTGTTTTTTGTATATGCATTTTCAAAGTTTTAAACTTTTAGAAAACTGTCTTATTTTAATAAAATCATACTAAATTTATTTGCATATCAGCCCCACTTGTCTATTGTAAAAACATTTTTCAACAAAGGATAGTCTTCAGATTCAGGTACCTCAATTTGAATGATGTTCAATATTAACTGTAGGGACACAATATTCATAAAATATACTGCATCTTAACAACACACCAATGTACAGTGACAGTGATATGAAAATTAATTCCATTTAATACTTGCGGGTGTAATGTGATAAAACAGTTTTTAATACAGTAACAGGTTTCATAAGGAACTGTGTTTTCAAGAGTATGTTTAAATACAGAAAATTTACATACAAATAATCTGTTAAGAAAAACATGAAAGCAATATCCATGTATATAAATTGGCTTAAAAAATCAGTGTTTCTGAAATTATGTTTTTGTTTTAGTACAGTAAGAGAATAACACAAATAAATTGTATTGAACTACCTAGTAATAACTGTATAATTAGACTTTTTAATAAACTTTAGTATATTAACTAATTTCTTTCTCATTTAAAGCATATTTTTAAATTAAATTTGTTTAGGATTGTGTTATTTGTTATATGTATTTTATTAAAGCTTTTATTAACATAGAATACTAACAAAGGTAGCATGAAATGCCTGTCTTTAAAAATTAATACTATAAATGGGGATATGGGCCACCTCTTCTACTATTTCATACCACAGCACACAAACCGTTCATCTGATGTAAAGGTTGCAGTGCTATGCAAGGCAATAAACGTCACTTTCATTTCGCATCAGCTTCGTGTGCCTTAACTACTAATCTCCTCTATCATTTGAGCCCTCATTCATGAAATTAAGGTAGTAAACCTGAAATGGTTAACAAACTTGAAAGTTTATCTAATTGTTTATAAATTATATTTAAATCTTTGAGATTCCTAACAGAATTCCTCTAACAAATTCCTCAAAGTTGATTCAACTAATTTTTCACAACAAATTGAGATGCCGATCAGACAGCTGGATGCATATTTTTTGTTTAAAATTTTAAATTTCCAAATAAAATGAAATACTGAAATTTCTTTTAATTAACAAAATACTTAATTAATACTGAAATATTATAATTTTATGGTGGATGTTCTGTAAGGAAACACAAACTTAATTTATTACAAAAACCTTGATAAAAAAAGGCTTTTATGGATGTGGTCTTTTTTTTCATGATAAGGATACAACTTCCACTCCATGAATTGAAAAATAAATGCTTTAATTCAAAAACAATAACTGTTTAAAAAAAGAGAAATTTAGAAAACCTTACCAACAAACTCTTTAATAAGAGTTGCAAATTTTTCAATTGTATATTCATCAGGATTTCCTAAATTGACAGGAAGGGAATAATTTCCATTCATTAAAGCAACAAGTCCTTCCACTAGATCAGACACATACTGAAATGATCGTGTCTGTTTTCCAGACCCATAGATCTAAAATCAATAATATTTGTTACAATTAATCCTAAAATAAAATACAGTTTGAGCTAGTACTAATAACTCTGTGATCACTTTTATGGAAAGATATCATATTTTGTTTATCAATAACATAACTATTACATAATAATCGTGCAATTGCAAAACCCTTAGGCATTACTGGATAATCTCTCTTTAAAATCTAACTTGAAGAAAACAAAAGCCAATCAATCTTTTAAAAGTACTGGTACTTGGAATTATGATGTAATGGCACAGAGAAAGTAGAAAACAAAAATTGAAAATTGGATAGTTTGAGATTTTTGAAGTATTATATACATTGTGCAGGTTCTTTATAGTCATGCAAACCTTAATATTATACTATAAATATACATGTTTAACCAAATGTTAGTTGGAGAAATAGCGAGTTATTCCTTAAAGACATTCCCAATAGAATAAATTACTATGATAACAACACTGACTTTAAACACTTGTTGCCAACAGTATTGAACATGACTGGAATTTGGGAGTGTACGCATATAAAGACACACACACACACACAAACTTAGCATTAAATGAAAACTTTAGTTTCTGGAAAAGTAATTTTACAAAATATCTTTTAGATCTTGTATTATTAAGAAATTATCTCAACACCATTTCAGATTTGTAACAAAAGAACTCACAAAAGAACTCTTGGTGCTATTACCTAACTTTAAAAAACAACTTGGAACTATTTTCGTTACATAGATATAATTAAATATGTAAGTGATTATGTAAGTAATGATGCTAATGGCTAAAAATATTTCCACACAATCACTAATGAAAAGTTTTAAATATATCAAATATAATTATAGACACCTTCCTTACAGCTCTGATATTTCTGAAACCCCTATTTAACTTTTTCTGTGTTTTTTAATATTTACTTTTAAATTAAAAAATTGAGTAATGTATAGTACTAAAATTTGAATTATAATGTACAGTCTGATACAAACATATTGACATAAATTCATGAAATAGTAGTTCAATAAAATTTTGAATGCAAGTTAACAAATGAGATGACATGGCCTTTCACCCATGACCCATCTCAAAAGGGTTAATTCTCTCTCTAAATACATGCATATATAATAAATTAATCTTAACAAGCTATACTTACTGTTATGGGAAGATTTTCTATGGCTTGAATAATAAAATTGCTAACAACACGTCCATCGTTAATGTGCATTCGGGGGCCATAGGTGTTGAAGATACGAGCTACTCTTACTTCAATATTTTCCTAATTAAATAAAATCAATAAAAATAAAATGTGTGTTTATAAAGTCTTTGAAGAGGAATCCACAGAAAGAAAAATATTTTGAAAAGGTTGGGAGAAAAAGCAGCTGTAATTTTGCAATTATTTTTTTTCACCTTACTTGTAAATTTGAGCAATATCATTTGTACAAACTAGAACACTAAAGCATTTACACTTACTGTCTATTGCCTGCCAAGTGTACAGTATACCTAATCATAGACAGTGATGTAGCAGTCACTCTTGTATGTGTATTCATTGTATTTATATTTACAAAAACATTTTATCACTCATATTCATGTTTTATACAACTTATGAACCAAATACAGCTACTGGATTGTTTAATCATTCAAACAACTTATCTTTAGGTGTCATTGATTACAACTGAGCATTTTACAAAACATTTTAAAGCACAGGTCTATAGACAAATACACAGTAATTCTTTCAACCATTGTTTCAGAAATAACAAAATGGGCAGAATTAAGATATTATTATAAAAAAGCAAAAATCTTTAGATTTTTTAACAATGTGTTTCTAACCAACTTGTTTTTGTTGGAAAGAATTAATGTTATATCATCATGCAAAAGCAAAATCCTTTATGTTTTAATAATGAGTTTCTCATATAAAATATTCACTTAACGTATTAATTTATTACCAGTTCCCTGACCGGAAAGCTTGAAGTGAATTAACTGATATAAATTGAAAAATACAAGGGAAGCTCTTCTCATTTTTATCTTTGTTAAAGATTTATTAGTATGGGAACTAAGAACTTGTTTTTTAATTAAAATGATTTCCAATGGCAGGAAACCACTAAAATCCACATGAAAGTATATGAACAACTAGTTATTTCTATATAAATGTTAAAACATCTTCAATACATTATACAGTAAAAACAGACTCAGCTTTTGAAGAACTTCGGTGTCTTTCCTCTGGGTAAAGGAGACAAGTCAGTCAAGTCCATCCTATGCCTAGACAGCACAAGCTTTTCCAAAAGCTAGGACAATTTTTAACTCTCTTTTTTTTTTTCCTTTTATTTATTCATTTTAGCTTTTTTTTTCACTTTTTAAATCTTTTTTCTTACTTTCTAATAATTTGTAATTTTTGTACCAGTCTGTAAGTTTAATTTTATTTATTTTTTCTGAAGAGTAGGGTTGGGTAATTAGCTGAATTAATCAATTACATCAATTAGTGTCACATAAAATAATAAATTAATTTCACGAAAATAATCAACTAATCAAAATTAGTGTTTTGGATTATTCTAATTATCCAAGTAAACAAATATTACTATTATGGTTTCTCATCATTAGTTTGATTAATTCACGGTTGTTCAACTTAATCTATTAGTGTCATACTCATGAAAATAATCAATTGATCTAAATTAATGTTTCCAATAATTGCTATTTATGATTTTTCCAACTATTTATATCTAATGTAAGAATAATCAATCAGTTGAATGTAATCACTTAATGAGCCAAGCAATTAATCAATTATCAAATTCTACTAATTGCCCAGCTCTACTGAAAATATCAGTACTCTGTTTTAATTCTCTTGTATTGTCTATAACCTCATGAAAGCCTTTCAGTTTGATATAAATCTGACCCTCTTACCTTTCTTACATAAGCGTAACAAATGGCCTCAGCTGCACGTTTACCTTCATCATAACAAGCACGTGGGCCAATGGGGTTGACATTACCCCAGTAATCCTCTGATTGTGGATGAATCTCAGGATCTCCATACAACTCAGATGTAGAGGATATTAAAAATCTAGCCTTCACTCTCTTAGCTAAGCCTGAAACAAAAGATGTGGAGATTGTTAACATCTGTTTGGTGTCAAATGACTGTTACATTTAATACCATAAAACAAATGAGGGGTAAGGATGGTACATATATATGCATTCATCAAAAAAAGGTAAAGGCAAGAAACAAAAATAAAGTTAAAATAGTTTCAGCAGAGCAAATTAAATCTAACTGGAAAATTGTTTTACACGATTGAATCCATTGAAAATGCATAGGAACATCACACCAGAAAAGTAAATTGTAAATAGAAAATTACTTATATTGGAGGAAACAACTTAATATTCTAGTTCTTATTCTAATCTGAATTTCAAATAACACATCTAAACTTCTTTATCAACAAATGTTAGCAAAAAAAATAAATATCTATGTCAGAAACATTTAAACAAATTTGGAGAAAAGAAGAGTTTACTCACCAAGCATATTAATTGTTCCAAGGATATTTGTTTTAAGTGTTTTTATTGGATTCAGCATGTAATGTGGAGGAGATGCAGGTGAAGCTAGATGATAAATCTGATCCACTAGAAAAATACAGAGATTTCTTAAAATAAAACAATTCAACTAGATCAAAGAAAGTTATGTAATTTGACTGGCTGTTGAACTAGTCGTCTTCACTTACGTTCATCCTTTTCCTAGAAACAGAGTTGATCATTTGTTCTTCCTCTAATGCTAAACATCCACATCCAAGTAATTACATACACAGAGAGCACCAACTACATAACATGTGTGTTCTCCAGAATACCCTTTATTTTCTGGATAAAAAGGAATCTAAAACATCAAAACTGAGGAGGAGGAGGGAGATACAGACAGCATTTGTTTCGAGCAAATAGTCAAAGTTAAGTAAAGGAACACAAAGTAATCAAATTATAGATGACAAAGGAACAAAAAATGAACCACACATCTATATAAAAGTTGAAGATATAAAATGAGAGACTTATTAGTGGGTGCAAACAGTACAAAAGAATTAACCAGAATATTGGTATATTTAAAATAAGGTACATGTCAATAATTACTACTAAGAACAAGAGATCTTATGATGTTCAAATCTTCTATAGATACTAAAACCTTTTAGACTACAACACAAAATTCCAGAAAAAAAATAACAAAAACCTGATTCACAGTATATCAAAATATTTAGTTTCTTGTTACTTCAGTAGTAAATTATAAAGCATTATGTATGCTGTAATATACACACATCACTTATGCTGGAAAATATTAAATATAATTACAATAATTGGTAACTATATTAAACCCTACCTAACACTTTTCACCAAGATAACAGCCTGTACTTGGCTGTTATCAAGAAGTATGGTTGACAATTGTTTCACAGATATTGGCATAGGATTATGGTTCAATGTTCATCATAAAAACATTTAATTCAATTGAGAATTGGTGATTGTACTGATCAAAGAATATGATTGAAATTAATGCCAAGCTCTTCAAACCAAATTGGAAAAATACAGTGGATTATTACATTATTATCTTAGAAAAGCCTTTGTCCATCAGGGAGAAAATGCAGCATTGTGAGATTTGCATGATATTTGCCCTTCTAGAGAAATAAAACCTGCTAAGAAAGCATTTCACACCCCATTTCACCCTACAGCAGCTTGTATTGTACTTTTGGAATACCACAAGCAGAATCAATTGCACATAATTTTCTTCATCTTTTTTTTTACCCAACTATAAGAATGACAAAAGGTGAATCATAACTAAGAAGACCACATCACTTGCTTACAGTTATTCATTATCCAATAAGATAAGCCATTATTGAAAGGTTTGTTGACTAAGGTTTGTTAACTACAATACAATCAAATCTGTACTTATAGGATTCAACAAGCACCTGATAAATCAGATGATCATTTTGTTTTGTATATCCAAATACACGGTGTTCCACAAGTGTGTGTGTGGGGGGGGGGGTGTCAATAAAATTCATGGCCAGTCCGTGTATACAGGAAGAAAAGTCAAACTGTTAGTTCTACTGGACAGTAAACATATCATACCTACTGAAATGCAATCACATCATTACATCTTGTAAACATTTATGTCCAAAGGTACTCACATATTCTGATGAAGAGAAAGCACTCCACTTTATCTAAATGTAAACACAACATTTATGTGCAAAATCACATAAAACTTTCTATTAGACAGTAAAAATTTTAATTCTTGTCGGAAGGTAACCATATTACATTACTCCACCCCCACATGTAATAACAAGTATTATGTCAGTTTATGATGTAACCATCATCAGGCTATAGCTCTCTTCCAAGAGGAGAGCAACATATCCTACATGCACAGCAATCCCCATGAGCACCAGCACTTGAACAAAGGCTCATAGTTGATGAGGCAAATTAAATACATGGGAAGTGGGTAGGAAGGATGGAAATTGAGAAGAGGTGAGTAACTATATGAAATACATTTTCAGGCAAGGAAAATGTTAATTTCAGAAAGATCTACTCACCTCTGTGCACAACAAAGATCTACATCCCCACATTGAGAAGATGGTTTAAGGGCCAGTGCAGATAAGGAAATTAAAAAAATAGGTTGGCATAATGTAAGATTACTACACCAGCCATTATCTCATAGGTAGTCAGATGAGCATGAGTGTGGGCTTTGGCAATAAGTCAAGCCTTTCTCTGTTTGAAAAATACTTATCAAAATAATCAAGTGCAGGGAGAAAATATCCCATACCTGCATTCCGAGGAGAACACTATTTATAAAAAGGGAGTAGGAGGTGGAATGTCCGTCTGAGGTTCATCAGTGGTTGTCTGAGCAAAGGAAAGGTGATAGAAAAATAGTGTAAATTCTCACTAGTTCATCCTTGATCTCCCACAAACTCAGCCTCTGAATCAACAGGAGAAAAAACCCATCAGACTAAGGCCTGGATAATGTTATACTCGTGAGGCTGTCGAAGAGAGGCACTAGGCAACTCCATGTCTGGAACATGAATGTGTGTATTCATATTCATGAAACGTCTCCAATTTCTTTTTTTTAAATCAAGAAAATAAACAATAAACTTAAGCCCCATGAAGAAGATCCAAAATAATTAAAAGGAAAATGTTGCAAATGCAGTAATATCACTAAAGGGAAACCTGCAGTAAACACATAAAATCATTCTTTGTCATTTTTGCCATAGAGAAAAAGTCATTAAGAAAGAATAATGGGGAGCTTATATATGGAATGGATATAGAGGGTGCATTGACATAGGTGGAGAGAGTCACAAGATTAAAATCCCTAGGGGCAATATAATAGGGTATAAAGACTGAAACAAGTGAGATAGAATTCATAACAATGTTTAGATGAGCAAAGAAGAGAGCCTTTCATCTGGATAAAGCTAATGTGTGAGAGGAGACAAGTGTATTTTGGAAAAGAGGTTCTAGTCTGAAAGAAGAACCAAAATAAAGAAGCCAACTGTAAAGCTCAGAAAAGGTCCATAAAAACTGAAGAAATAAAATGAAAATTGCAGGGGATGAGGAAGAAGATCATTGACAAAGTAGCCCTGTAACCAGTGATTTTAAAAGTAAATACACTGCTCTCAAAAACCATGTAAAAAGAAAGAAATTGGTTCAATCCTGGCTTAGAACAGTTGCTGCCAGAGTTGCAAAGTCTAGGATTAGTGATCAGAAAAGAAGAAGCTTGGTACTAAGGGAAATCACAAAGGTAATGATAAGAGGACTACCAAAGCAGAAACAAAAAGACTGAAACACCAAAGTATGAAAGACCACTCTGTGGGGAGTATCTAGCCCAAGGAAGACAGTTGATCCACCACCAGGATCAAAGCTCCTGGGACATGACAAGCTAACAACTGAAAGTGGTGGTCATGGTTCCAAAAATGAAAATCCAAAAAGCATAGGTCCTGAGATCAAATGCCTCTTTGTCAGTTGATGTATGACATGACAGTAGAGTTATCCAAATGTATCATCACAAGATGACCAGATAATGAGACTGAAGATGACAGCAAGCTTGATAAGCATATTTGAGAATGTTGATATTGAAGAGATTACTCTCATGGAAATCATACCCCAGAAATGATTATAAGAGTCCAAAACTGCCTCTACATTGAAAGAGAGGCATCAGTAAACAGATGCAGATCAGGGAAAGTTCAAGGGAAGATATATGCCCAGTATCATTTTGGATCAATCAAGCTATCACAAAAGCAAGAAGTGAAGAGATGAAGGAAGAATATACAAGAGACAACAGGAAATTTCTGGACATAATCCATAGAATTGCCATGTGCCACTGAATGGGATGCATACAGGTGCCTCATGAAGGAAAATAAAGAGACATAAAAGTTTTGGTAACCATAAGCTCCATAAAGGAGATAGCTTAGCCTGACATACAAATAAGTTGAAAAAAGGCTCCCAAATTAATCAGGTACTGAGTGGGGGTCCACACAGACTTGGAAAACTTAATCAGCTATCCCAAATGAGACGTTTCCTGATGGAGAAAGAAGGTTACAACCATAGATGCTTCTTTAGATAGAGCTAAAAGAAGCCAGTCATACATATAAAAGTGGAAATAGAGACCAAACAAATGAATCCTCCATATAAATGCACTCATGACTCAATTGAAAACATACAGATCCACAGCTAACCTGAAGGGAATGGCCCAGAATTCAAAAATCTGATCATCATGAATGAACAGAAGATAGTTATGGGTGGATGGACAAACTAGGATTTGGAGAAAAGCATACAAAACACTGACTTCAGTCATCCATAGCCCAGGAGAGAACACCCATCTCAGACTGAGAAATCAACCATTTTGAACCACAAAATAATAAAATACATTCAAGAATGAGAGATTTATAACAGAGTGCCAACCACCTGTCTTCTTGGGAAGAACAAAAAGATGAAAGTAAAAACACTAAACGGATTGAGGACCTATTCCACAGTATCAGTAACCCACAGAGAAGGCTCAGCCACTCCTAGGTGCCAAAGGCATGCAAGATCTGAAGGAAGATGGAAAGACAACTAGAGAAGGAGAAAGAGGAAGTTGACTGTGTGAAGACAGGGAAAGTCCATGGGAAAGCATATGTGTGATCCAACTGTCACCTGCAAAGTGAGTCTGCATGTGTGAAATGAGGGAGAACAGAGATCTTACCAGATGGGAGCTGAGGGGTGGCTACAAAAGTGAGTGACCCATGATTCATGATGGCTAGCCTTCCAGGAGTAAGGACATTGAAAATGAGCAAATTGAAAAATGGGAAAGGGGCAACACAAAGAGACTTTTAAGGATGTTAAATCTGTTGAGACTTCCCCTGGAGCAAGAAACATGGGAAACCAAAGTAATCAGAGAAAAGAACGCTGACAAACAGACTCAGCTTAAGTCTCCAAAGTGTAAGGAACACCTCCAAAGACCTGGTCTCAAATGAAGGGTGCCAGACAAAGGTCAATGAGATAAGACTAAGATAGTGAAAATCTGAAAGAAACAAAGAAACCAAGCTAACAGGTACACAACTGAAGGAGAAATTTAGGGTGAGGAAGAAATAACGTACGTGCCAATTTCTCCAGTAGATTGGGTTGTGATGAACAGTAATGAAAAGAAGGTGAAGCAATGATAGATAGCTAAGAAGTTTGGCAAGTAAAGGATGAAGGTAAGTAGATGGAGATTGTGAGAGAGAAAAAAAAAGGAATGAAAAAGAGGAGATCCTCAAACTGAAAGAAAAGACTCTCATGATGGAGGCTCATGCAACAAGATAACTTGAGATTCAGCATAAAATAACTGGAGAAAAAGAAAACAAAAGACACATACCTGCATAATCCATGCAGTGAAGGACAAAAGTGGAGTTATCTGAGCTTCGTCAGAAAAAGGAAACTAGAATCAAAAGCAGGCATGGAAAAAAACATTAGTGAAACTCGTTGAAAGATGGGGCAGGCTTAGCTGAAGTAACACAAGCAGGAGAATGGAACAAGCCATCCGGTGCACAATGGTGGTAATATAACTGACCATCAAAGTGCCTCGAGTTGCCTCTACTGTTGAGGAGTGTCAGTAACTCAGGAGAAGTCGAAAACATGAACAAGTAATGCAAATGATCCATGAAACCAACATGACCTGGTATGTTGATAGTGCATAGGCCTAGATCATTAGCCTCATCATGACATTGAAAAGTACTTAATGAAACAATGGGAAATAGTATTTTAAAAGAAACCTTATCCTAGAAAAGGGACATGTGCCCCAAAATTACAGATTTGAGTAAAATTTGGTATAATTTTTTCTCATAATCAACAAAATTAAAAAGGAAAAATTACACTATGAATGGTAACAATAGTTTAAAATAATAAATGCAAAAATGTCTAAGTAAAACATATATGAGCAAAGGAGTGTCAAGGATGTGTTACCTTCATATCAGTTAAGAGCTATTATCTGATGATTACATCAGAAGCTGGCACAAGTTAATACATGGGGTGAGCTTCATTAAATGCTTGTGGTGTGTGCAAAAATCTTCATGGCAACGGCATAGGATAATAGTTCTTTGTTGTACAGAGTAGTGAGTAAACATTTCTGAAAACACAAGTAACATAACCATACAACTTTCAGAAAGCAACAATAACTGTAATCACAAATAAGGTTTTCTATATCTCAGCTTTGTATTGCTCATTTTATTTTTATTAAATGAGGTTAACTTTGAAACCTTAAAAAAAATCAGCCATAGAAAGTGCTAGCAAACAAAACACTTCATATTTTTTCTGAAAGACTGTTCAGGATTAATGTTTCAAATTTATGTGTCAACCATAATTTAGAAAATTTCCTTCTAGATATAGTCATATTTAGGTTTCTTTTAAGAAGCAACTAACTTTAAGATGTATATTATGCAAGAAGTATATTTTCTTTACAAAATCAGCCCAGCTTTTGAAATTGGTACTGATATAAGAATAACTCAGCTTATTTACATAAAAAAAATCCTTATATGCAAGCTAAAATCAGGCTTTATTACAAGTGCCCCTTTTAACATATTTACAACACAGTCAACATGAAATATTACACAAAATACATTATTCTTACCTTCAATAAATAATGGATTTATAATATCATGGTTTATAATTTCAAAGTTCTCATGTCCAATCCATTGTTCAATGTTTTTTCTACTTCCAGTAAAAAAGTTGTCAACAACTGTTACACTATGGCCATCCATCATAAGTCTGTCAACCAGATGACTCCCAACAAATCCAGCTCCACCAGAAACCTGTAAAAAAAAACAGCTACAAGATTCTACCCACTCTATTGAAATAGAAAAACTTATTTCATCCAAATACTATCTATCAAGCTGTCTTAATTTACATATGTATCTTAACTATTCATAAATTTATGTATTATGCCAATACTGACTCTGATTAATAACTTATCCATTAAAGTGAAATACGCACTGTCTAATCCACTTAGTTTTTACCATAGCGTAATTTTATGGATTAAAGTAAACAAGAAAACAGTAAAAAAGCAATATAAGTACATAATTTAATACCTCTCAAATATAAACTCTTTTACATATATATCTTTCTCTTTAATACATAACCATGTGTACATGTGCAACATAAGGTACCTGAAGTGTTACTATAATACCAACAACTGGCCATAAACAGCAGCACTATGATTTGGAACATTTTTAGTTGGAACACCTTTGACAAAACCCTTTCTGTTTTTCTATCACATCCCTACTGGTTATGTGGCTGTGTTTAATAGTACTCATGATGCTACATTTTTATACTTTCTCCCTCCTCTCTCTCTCTCTCTATATATATATATATATATCAGGGTCTAAAATTTCTACCCAATCCTCCAGGGGTTCTAAATGGTCCTTGTCAGATTCAACTTGTCAAATCCAGGGACATGTATGTATGTGTATATAAATGTAACATTAAACAAAACTCTTTAACAGAAAACAACAGTTTTTGATTATAAAAGTTTTGGAATGTACATGATCTCTACATTAATTCATATAAACAAAAACAAAATGTGACTTGAGATTAGTATTTTAATACTGACCAAAAGGTAAGATATTTTACCACTAAGATGTTAATATTCATCACATTTTGTTTGAATTGATACTGCCATTCACATGTTTTAGGAACATCCATTTCAGTTCAGACATCATAGAAATTTCCCATGATGTTACAAATAGACCAAGGATCCCCAGAAAGCTAGAGGCTCCATTTGGGAGATTTAAGTAAAGAAAATACTTTCATGAGACATACTATAGTTTTAAGATAAAAGTACAAAAATGCACATTTGATGACAAGGTAAAATAGGAAAAATGTTTAATATTCCAATCACCTCTGTTGGGCCAATTTGATTTTTTTTTTTTTTTTTGGTATTCTAGTCAGCCCACAGACCTCCTAGCTAGTTAGGATCAACTAAATAATGCAAGTTCCATACCCTGAATCACATATGTATATATAAGTATGATTACATAAAGTTATATTGTCCCCACACTGAAAAGTATTTCTGATAGGTACTTCCCTTGGCTCACAAGATTAGCTATTCTCGTTTATTGCTGCCTTCTATATGCAAACCTTTTTTATTACACATGCCACAAGCCTTCTGCACCCCGTATTGGAATCAAATGATTCCAACATGGCTCTCATGCAAATCATCATGCATCAACTATTCCACCAATAGGAGCATAGAACATTCACATGATGCATGTAACTCCCTCTATGCACCACTGCCAAAATATCACTTCAAAGATTGGTAGATGACGGAAGCATCAGGAGTGGGGAGGAAGGGTAGGAAGTGTGAGAGGAGGGAAGCACCTATCGGAAATACATTTCAGTATAGGAAAATTATAACTTCCGATATGGTATTTCTCTCTGCTCACAAGATTAGTTGGAATCCCACATTGATTAGGAGGAGGGACCGGTGCGAGGGAAGAACAGCTGTTCCCCCTAGAAACATCCAAAGGATACCCCTGCAGGTGAAAGAGTCAGAACCGAAGATAGGGACCACATCACTTCTGATACAGGTATACTCTTCATCCAGTTGAGAAATGTGTAAAAATCAGGGTGTAAAATGAGAGGAGCACATCCTAGTGGGAGAGAAAGCAGTAGGAAAGTGATCCTAACCGAAGAAAGATAAAGTAACTCAATCCCACAATAAGAAAGTTGGTAAATGAGGATGCATCCCATGGTGTGGAGTGGCTAGGGCATGGCAAACTGTACTTGGCAAGTCAAATACATCCTAAACATCCTCGTGGGGTACCGACATCAGCAAGCGAGGGTAGGATGAGAATCATACCACCTTCACCTCAAACCCAAGAACCGGAGAATTCAGAACTACTCCAATTCCTGGGTATTATGCAGGATTAGCTCTGAGCTATTGATCCAGGAATGTGACATTTGGTATGGAAACGAAGTCTATCACATGCAATCAACTCCTTCAACCATGAAACAGGTCAGGACCATCCAAAGGGCAATAATATCCACATAAAAAAAGAGAACAAGGAAGAGCCAAGGATAGAACCTGAATAGTCCAACGTATCTCAACTGTGACCTACAACACAGAATGAGGAATTGAGGGAGGAAGATAGACAACCCTAAACCTGTGTGAGCACTTATGTTGATTGGTTCACTTGAAATCCAAAACCAGCCCGCATGGTACCGACATCCACACAGGAGTAGGAAGAGGGCTCCCAATCAAAGGGGTGAACTGCATTTTGATGTCTCACTCTGTTGTACGTTTTAATCGCAAATAGGAGGATATTACATCATCTACACCAGCAGAACACCACCACCCTACTCTGAACTGAATGGTTATAGCCATCTTACGTGGAACCTATCCAGCAAGGTACCTCCATGATCAACCACCCCAGCAGCTTGGAATTGGAAATTGGTAAGGACTCCCATACTCCACTAGAAGAAAGGAGTGTGAGAATGCATTAGAGAGCCCAGAGGAACATTAACACCCAAGACAGTGCAATAGGTGATCATGAAACCCTATTTTGAAAAGCAGACCATACCAATTTATTCAATGAAGGCATGGCAGGGGTGGGCAGCTATCCCCTTCTGCTTTACCCATGAAGTCCACGGGTGGTATGGTCCAAGACAGGCCAATTTATGAAACAAATATTGCGAGGTTCTTCACCTACAAGCAATCTTGTGAAACACCCCATCTCAAAGGTGAGTGTGCAGAGCCATGGAAAGAAAGCACTATTATACATGGCGTACAGTGCAGACTTAGAGTTAAAGAATACCTGGCCAGGCACCACTCACCACAGAAGGGGATCCAAGTAATGAAGGTATAAAGATTTGAGCTCCTGAAAGAAAATAAATGATTAATAAAGACTTACCCAGTGTCAGAATCGCACCAAAGATTGGCATATAGTTACAGGTGGAAGGCAAAACCCTGAGGAAGCCAAAACCCTGATATGATGTAAATAATGGGAAATGAATGTGCTAGGGTTGGTCAACATGCCCGATTGTAGGATTTCCTCCAGAGGTAGACAAAGATGAGAAGTGAGGTGTCGGATTTGATGAGAAGTAACACAGTACAAAGTACATTAGGAAGGGGAGAAGGAGGAATAAGTCAACTGGATCAGATGATAAACCCAGTTGGTTAGTGTAAAAGTGGAGAGATCCCTGGACAAAGAGGGTTTCCAAGGGATAAAGAGATGGGAATGGGAACCATGGAAGGAAGCTGTGAGGGCAATATAACAATGAAGGGTATGCACAGAACATACAAGTCTATCGGATCGGGACGGGGGTTAGATATGAGAAATATAAGGTAAGGAAATAAGCAAAAAGAAGGAGGTTTTGGGAAGGAAGGAATGATCCAGATAATAAGGAAGATACATATGGTGGCAAATTGTGCATGTAACGTCAGACTGTCGATGCCCCCAGGCCAGGAGAAGGAAATATGCCTTAAGGGACAGGGGAAACAAAAAACATGAGGATATAAGTTCAAATGGAAATAAAGTAAGGGAATGGAGGACACATTAATAGCCAAAGAGGTCAACGAACATGTTCCCTGCTGTATCGGGAAAGGTATGGGATAAAACTGCCCAATAACCTGAAATTGAGGAGACAGAAGACCCCCAGTCGAAAAACCACATGAGAAACTTGGAGACACCAGCAACAGTATGGCAAACAGTTGGAAATTCCCAAGCCTGGGCCCATGTGTGAAAGACCTTCCACTTTCACTGATAAACTGCCAGAGGAAGGACAGATGGGTTGGGCCAAATGAGAAGCTACACGACAAGAGAAACCAGATCTCCTCACCAAAGACCAGGCAAAAGCCAAGCATGAAAACAGAGGACATGAAGTGCAGGATGTAGAAGCGTGACTGGGGTTGACGAAGGAGGTCAGGTAATAAGGGAAGTGGTACTGGAGGGAATAATTGTAGGTGGAGTAAGTGAGGAAACCATGGTTGAGCTGGTCAGTAGAGAGTGATAGAAGGACCTGGCACAGAGTAGCATGGATCAGGAAAACTACCTGATGAAGTAATCAGATAGAAGGATAAACATATAGGAATTTTTGTGACCAATCCTGGCTGAAGGCATCTATAGCCAAAGCCTGAGGATGAAGAAGTGGGGACCAAAATATGGATAACTGGTGATTGAGGGTGGTGGCAAAAACACTGATGTGAGGAACCCCCCACAGACTGCAATGCTACCAGAAAACAAGAGGATAAAGAGACCACTCCATTGGGTAAACCTTGTCGGGGTGGGAAATACGATCCACCACGAGGTTGAAAGCACCCAGGACATGACAATTAAACAAATTTGTTGCAAGTGGGTCCAATATAAGAGATCCAACGTATGAAAACAGAGGGATCTCGACCAGGTGCCACCTTGATGATTAATATAAGCCCCCACTGTGGAATTATTGGAAAGGATCATTACCAGACAATGTTTGGAAATACAAAGAAAGTGATCCAAAGCCCAATGAATGACTAGGAGCTCTAGGACATTGATATGTAAAGATTGTTCATCCTAGAGACCAACAACCCGAAGCCTCTTGGTGATCAACCCATGCACCCAAGCCCTGAGGGGATGCGTCTGTAAACAAATGTAAGTACTGACAAGGAGGAGGAAGCGGGACACCCGGGGATGTACAAGTCATGTCCAACCACCAAAGTACAGAACTGAAGCCAGTTCGAAGAGTAGGGTGCAAAATTGGTATACAACCCCTCAATGGACAAACCAAAGACAAGGATGACACCATTCCAAGAAGGGAATATGCAGAGAGGCATTGGATATGTCCATCTTTGTCTGTGGTCTTTAGGGGAACTACAAACAGATGGGAGTAAAATTCTGGTGAATGATGTGGAACAGGTTCTATAGTCTGTTGGGTGAGGAGGTCCTGTACCACCTCTGATAGATGCTGGCCAGTTAATGGATCCCGAGGAGAAGGAAAGGAAACAGGTACCTGGGACAAGGGAGGTGGGTCAAGAAACAGAATTTTGAATCCCTCCAACAAAACGTGAAGAACCCAAACATCCGAGATGAAAGGGTGCCACTGATGAACAAAGATCGCAAGGCAAGCACCCACCAGGCTTGAACCAACCAAGCAGTCACCGGAACTGTTGGCAGCGTATCATGTGTCACCAAGAAAAATGGTGAGCCGTAGCACCATGGGAAGGAGGGACAGGTAAGGGATGGGAAGGATGGGAAACTGAAATAGGCACTACACTTGGCTCTGACTGAGATAAACTGGCAACTAGATGGGAAATGGTAGATTGTTGCTGGGCAGATGCCACCCTCGACTTCAAGGATTCCGGGGCCATATCAAAAACAAAATGTCTTAAAAACTGAGCCATATGCAAATCCCAGAGACAAGAAGCAGATAAACGGGTTTGAGATAAAACAACATAATGACTTGAAAGATCCCAATAACAAAGATACCACGTCTGTAAAGCCAGAGCCAAAGACAATAAATGAGCCAACATGGAGGTAAGGAGGTAGAGGGTGTCCCCAGAAAACCCCTTAAGATTTCTGTGAAAAGCCTCAGACATAAGATAGATTGTGGAAAGGTACTGCAAAAGGGTCATGAGGGTAAGACGGAGGCAGAAAAATTGGGTATGGATGAGACTAATGGGATATTTGGGGCCCACTCCCCAAATGGGCAAAACTGAACCCAACAGCTGTTGATCGAGATATGGGCAGTGTGCCCAATGAAATGCAAAGGCCAACTGATATGAAGCCTGTGGGGGATGAGGCATACTACAACATCGCCCAACTGAGAGGGAAGTTGGTCAGCATGAACCCGAATGTCAGGGGATGGGGGAAACATCAAATAAGGTTGAGAAGTATGATCATGCAATAACAAAGGATGTAGGTCATAAGCTATAGGAGCAAGGGATAAAACATCACATAACTGAGAAATAAAGTCAGAAAAAAACCATAGACAGGCAATCAGAATCCTCAGGGAGGATATGGGAAGGCACGGCAAAATCAGGAGGTGGAAACAGATGATCAAAGTCCTCATCAACCTAACCAGGTTCTTCAGAAAGAGTAGCAATTTTTGGATATAAAGGTTGACTCGTATAACGTTCAATCTCCTAAACATAGACAAATCTCCCATCTGTGGTATAGTGCCTGTCAACTGTGTGACACCCAAAGTGGTAACATTAGCTTCAGAATTCATGGTGATATAGTCAAAAAAAGAATTTGAAGTAAATAAGAAATGCGACTAGAAGAAAGGTGAGTCAATTGAAATAATGTCAAAAAATAACTGAGTATTTTAAATTAAATTAAACCACTCCGAGAAAATATGATCTAAAACATGAAACAAGACAAAAAAAAAGAAAGACATCTGTGTGCAAGCGCTGACAAATGAGAAGTGACAGTTCGGTAGAGATGCATAGAGGGAGTCAAATGTGTCATGTGAGTGTACTATGCCCCTACTGGTGGATAGGTGATGCATGATGATTTGCATAAGAGCTATGTAGTAATCTTGCAATTCCAATAGGGGGAAGCGTAAGGCTTGTGGCATGCATAAAGAAAAAGTTTGCATATAGAGGGCAGCACTGAACATGAATAGCTAATCTCGTGAGCGGAGGGAAGTACTGTATCAGAATAAATGCTTAAGCTTCTCACTTTACTTAATTGTTACCAGAACTTTATTAACCAGAGGTGTAAACTACAATATGGAAATATTTTTTCGTACTCCAAAAATATGCAAAAATCTAGAAATTATGTAACAAAATATAAATCAACTGTGGACAGTAATTATTTAATTTACAATGTAAAAATGGTTCATTGTTTCATGGACTTTTTATATAGTGATAGCAAATATAGTTTTTATTTTCTCTGTTTCATTACTTAACTCTTTCATTGCCACATTTAAACATCACTCCCAAGTACCAGTTTTATTATTTTTAAGATTCACAACAACAATCAAAAGACACACTTTAATATTTCTTTACTTATCTAAAACTCGAAACTGATAAATTATAAGAAGTTTCTACAAATTGCTATAAAATTCCAAACATCACAGCAGCTCTAGAAAGGGACATACATGTGTCCATTGCAATGAAAGAGTTAAAGGAAAATGTGTTTGGCCCTCCAAAAATATTATGAAAACCTTCACTTTTTGATAAATTTTTACTTGGGCAGATTTAAAAGTAGTAGAGGTGCCAAAGTCACTGCTGTCACACATCAGTAATTAGATAAGACAGTGAAACTACTCTGAGATTCTTCTGCATTATACGTCTACAAACTATGTTTCAAGTATTTTGTTTTGATACTTCCAAGACCAAACTGAGGCTCTTATTGAGACCATTAAACTTTTTTGTTCACAAAATCCTGAATGTATTTTTTTTTTTGAAAATCATGATTATTGTATCTATATGACGTACTTTTGTATTACAATGTAGTGAGTTAGATGATTTCATGTTGATTATATCATTATAACAATCACTATTCTTCAATCAGTTTGCATTTATTAAGGTTATTTTTTCAAGCAATCAACCCTTCAAAAATCTAGCTTCCTTACCAAAATTCTTTTTTTATCTTTATATCCTAATGGCTTAACAGGTGGAAATGTTTTTGGAACATTCATTTCCAGTTTAATGATTCTTTCTTCCATTTCCTGCAGTTTTTCTTTGATATCCATGATAAACTGAGTGTCTGATATACTTTCACAGTTCTGTAAGGATGAAACATAGAATAGTTAATGTAAAGAAAAAAAAATCTTTACATTTCTTTAAATAAAACAGTTTGAAAATCGTATTAGTAAACATATGTCCCTTCTTTATAAATTCATATATTTTTATTTCAAAAGAAAAACTAAACATTTATTTTATACAATAAAAAAGTGGTGTAGTTAAACCATGTTATGATTGAGCACTATCCAGGCATTCATTTTTTAAGAATTTCAGTATCCTCTTAACACTTTTTATGGCTTTAATTACGAACTAATAGATCACAGATTAAATAAAAAGAAAATTGTAACTGTTTAACTTCATACAAAAAAAGGATATGAAAAATAGGAAACCAAGAAATAATCCTTACTTTCATTTCACTTAAGAGCAGTCTACTTAAAACTGAGTTTTAGAACATCACCCAAAATCTTCCATATTTTGCAAATCATATAAAGTAGTCACTATTTTTCTAAGACTACTACACTGATAAAAACGTGTGAGTGGTTTGATTTTGTTGAGACTATCATCAGCAACACAGCAATAAATTTCCTTATAAACAATAACACATTATTTCAACAACAACAAAAAATGAATAAATTATTTTTAAAAAGTAAATCAAAGGCAAAAACCCTTCTGCTACCTCAAGCTTCATACATTATATTACGACAAAGCAAAGACAAGATATACACATGTAAACAGAAGTACCTTACTAGAAAGACCAAGCACAAAGATTTCTCTTAATAAATAATATAATTTTATATATTTAGGAGATATAGGTACATTTGATAACAGAAACTTGAATTTATATTCTCTCCAAACAGGTTACCTAATGAGATAATATTTTCAAAAGTCCATTATATTTATAAAACTCAAAAATAAAAATAAAGAGAAACCTTACATGTCCTTCTTATACTCTTTGAAGAAATGATCTGCTTCAAAAGGCTTTGTACATTACAAACAGCTGGAATGAAACAGGTGTCAAATGATATGTGCTCTATCTACCAAATGTTGGAACTAAATATGGTTTCCATCAGCAGTATACCATCTGGTATTTTACCTCATACAGTACTTCAACATCTAGAAAAGTAAAAATACACTACATTTTGCTTGTTCTTATGACCATTAACTTCTAACAGCTAAACAGTACAGGCATACAACATTTAGTCATTATTTGCAAGTGCTCTAGTGTGGCACTATTTATAGGTAAACTAGTCATGAATGTCTGTAAGTTGCAAATCATACATATTTCTGTTACTCCAACTTGTACATGTTCACATTAGTATTAGAATATATGTTTATGTAAAGTTTAGTAATTAAAATTCTAAGTATGGGCACAAATATCAAACTTTGATTAATGAAATTCAGTAGTGGTCAATAATCTAAACCAGGTGTTTTAGAGCATAAATGATCAGCATTTCCCAATTAGAATAGAAAAAAAAAAGAATAGTAATCAAATTAAAAATAAAAGTGCAAAAAAGTCCTTTAAATTAACTTATGACTGAATGTAAACTGTATTAAATGCACTGGGAATATATGTACATATTTCTCTCTCTTATTAAACACTGTTGTTTTGGCTGAATTTCTAAATACTTTGTGTTATTGTAACAGTTTCTATGGGATATGTTGGAATTGACCTGAATCATTTAGATACTAATACCTTGATGGTTGGTAAAATTGGAAATATTGATAGATTAAATGTAGATGAAGAATCATGGTCAGACAAGGGATTTAAATGAGGTCAAATATCATATATGCAAAGTGCTCTCCCTTTCATTTTTAATAGGTTACAAGAGAGTGGGCAGGTTCCGAAGGATTGAAGAGTTCCTTATGTCACTCCTGATAATAATTGCCCTGGAAATTATATGCTAGTTACTTCTGCAGTGGGAAAAATTATAGAGATTCTGAAAAAAAAGGAAGCTTTAATAGATCATTTAGTGAAATATTGTAATGATTGAAATAATTATGAATTTCACCCTTCCATTGCTACATTAGAATATACAGTACCTGGGAAAAGTATTCACCCACTACCAATATTGTCACATTTTGATAAAATGCAAATAATGTAACCAATTTTTTTAATGATATAACTTAACACTGTTATGTGTGAAAAAGGTTGAATATCAGCAAAATCTGCAAAGAAAATATAAAAATTGAAATTTACTGATTGCATAAGTATTTAGCCTCCTAGTTCAGTACCTGGTGGAAGCACTTTGGCAGCAATTACTGCTGTGAGTCTTTATGGATAGGTCTCTACCAGCTTTGCACAATGAAATGCATTTACCCTGAAGTCAAGTTAAACCACTTTGATTATATATGGACAGAGACCAT